GTGTGTGTATGTGTGAGTGTTCAGAGTGACGCGTGTGGGATATCCAGGGTGATCCGGTGTATGTGAACAGTGAGTTGTTTGGGCGCTGATTCGCCACAGCCAGTTGAAAGTGAACTCGTATCTGGATGCCATATCTCTGAGTTTTGAGTGGGTGCACGTCGCCAGTTTGCTGCGCTACTGTTTACATGCATGAAACGTGTGAATGAGAACGAGTCTGATTGCAGAAGAGAGGTGGGTGTAAAATGACAGGTTTGGGCCCACTCAAAGAGGTGGCTACTACAGGTTTAAAGAATTCAGAGGGTAACAGTACTTGAAGAGTTGGGTGTAATGACAGGTGGGCCCACTTGAAAACCTGGCTACAATAAAGAATTTATGACAGGGTTGGGCGCACTTGCAGCGGTGGCTATAACATGTTTTTAGAATCCAGGAGGTTGAGGAGGGGACAAAATTCCTGTAACCCTTGAAGAGAGGTGGGTGTAAAATGACAGGTTTGGGCCAACTCAAAGAGGTGGCTACTACAGGTTTAAAGAATTCAGAGGGTAACAGGACTTGAAGAGTTGGGTGTAATGACAGGTTTGGGCCCACTTGTGGGCCCACTTGAAAACCTGGCTACAACAGGTTCGAGGAGTTCAGACCGTGACAGAATTTCTGTCACCCTTGGAGAGGTGGCTATAATGACAGGTGGAATCATAGCCACCTCTCTTTCCTCTCTTCTCCCTCTTCTCCCTCTTCTCTCTCTTCCATAGGAGAGGTGGCCATAATGACAGGCTTGGGCCCACAACAAGGTGGCAACAACAGGTTTGAAGAGAGTTCAGGGGTTGGTGACAGGGTGGCTGAAGAATGTCGAAAAAGAACAAACTGCATGCCTGCAAAGAAAGTTTTCCTTTCAACTTAGTCCCCCCTCCGCCACCTTTTCTTTCTCCTACCGCCCTCTTTACATTACTACTACTTTGAAATTCCCTCCTCCTCCTCCTTCCTCCCAGCTGGCAAGTCCATAACACAACCCTGTGTGCCATCCTCTGTGTTCTCATCATCCTTGCCCTTTCCCAGGCCATCATGCAGTCGTTGACATCCTCTCTCTCTTACTTTTCATACCTGCCTTTGCTATCCTACCACAATAACCTCCATGGCATCCTCGACCAAACCCTCATCCTCATGCTTTGGCATGCTATAATGTGGATATGTATATCTATACTACCCCCTCCTCTCTCTTCTCTCCTCCAAATTTGGCACTCCGGCTAATGAGTCTCCACAAAATACTCAACTTCTTCCTCCCAGTTGGCAAACTTAAGGAATTAGCGTTTAGGACTTTAGGGTTTGCGGTTCAAATGTTCTAGGGTTTGGGATTTTTGGGGTTTTGGTTTCAGGCTCAAGAGTCTAGGGTTTCAGAGTTCAGGGTAGGGTTAGGGGTTTGGGTTTAAGAATTAGAGCATAGGGTTTAGGGTTTAAGAGTTTTACCATGGTTACAATCCGAGGGTAGGGTTAGGGGTTCGGGTTTAAGGATTCGGGCATAGGGTTTAGGGTTTAAGGCTTAGAGCATAGGGTTTAAGGCTTAAGAGTTTTACCATGATTACAATCCGAACATCCAGATCACCTTACAGCCGGTCGGGGTCCGGATGTCCAGCTGGACATCTGGTCCGGCTCATTAGGTTGGGAGAGAAAATCCGGGGAGGAGGGGAAAGGGTCAGCCAGGACCCTTCGTTGGGTCGAGGCCAACCTCCAAAAGTTCATATGGACATTTTCCCAGCCTGTTCCGGGTTGCGAAACCAGCTCGAACTGGGATGCTTCTTGTTTTTTCTACTTTCAAAAGTTTTTCATCCCTTTTTCAGGTGGGCCTTATTTTGTGGGGGAACAAGCCAAATTTGGTTCGCCTCGTTCCACTGCCTCCCTTGTCATCGTCGTTGCAGCTCGCCGTTCTCCTATCCGTCGCCCAGTCCAGCTGGGAAGCTCACGCTGCTGCTCGACGCCAATCGCAATCGTCGTTTTGATTCTTTGGAAGCTCGCAGCCGCTGTTGGGAAATGAGAGAGAGAGAGAGAGAGAGAGAGAGAGAGAGAGAGAGAGAGAGAGAGAGAGAGAG